TTGAGTTTTCCAAGTTTGCTGGCATATTGAGTGTAGCACTTTTACTGCATCATCTTTTAAGATTTTGAATAGCTCAGCTGGAATACTGTCACCTCCACTAGCTTTGTTGTTGCTCAGACTTCCTAAGGCCCATTTGACTTCACATTCCAGGATGTGTGGCTCGAGGTCAGTGACCACCCCATCGTGGTTATCAGGGACATTAAAATCTTTCTTGTATAGTTTTTCTGTGTAATCTTGTCACCTCTTCTTCTGCCTCTGTTAGGTCCCTGCCATTTTCGTCCTTTATCAGCCCATCTTTGCATGAAACATTCTCTTCATGTCTCCAATTTACTTGAAGAGATCTCTAGTTTTTTCTATTCTATTGTTTTCTTCTATTTCTTTGCGCTGTTCATTTAAGAAGGCATTCTTATCTCTTCTAGCTGTTCTCTGGAATTCTGCATTCAATTGTTTGTATCTTTGTCTTTCTCCCTTGCCTTTCGCTTCCCTTCTTTCCTCAGCTATTTGTAAAGCTTCCTTAGACAGCCATTTTGCTTTCTTGCATTTCTTTTTCTTTGGGATGGTTTTAGTTGCTACCTCTTGTACAGTGTTGTGAACCTCCGTCCATAGTTGTTCAGGCACTCTGTCTACCAGATCTAATACCTTAAATCTGCTTGTCACCTCTACTGTATATTCATCAGGGATATGATTTAGGTCATACCTGAGTGGCCTAGTGCTTTTCCCTACTTTCTTCAATTTAAGTCTAAATTTTGCAACCAGAAGCTCGTGATCTGAGCCACAGTCAGCTCCTGGTCTAGTTTTTACTGACTGTATACAGCTTCTCCATCTTTGGCTGCAGAGCACATAGAGCATTGAAGTCTTAACAATCAGAAAAAAACAGACTTAACAATCTAGGAAGAGTTTTCTAAAATGCCTGAAGGAATGTCAGGACTTCGCCAGGTGAACCTCTTTGGGGAAATTTGTTCCAGGGGGGTGGGGGTGTTTGTGGCTACAACTGAGAAGTTCCTCTCTCTTTCAGCCACCTGGAAGAGGGACCCTGAAGAAGACCTAAGAGTCTATGCAAGCCTATGTGGAAGGACAGGTTCCTTTAGATAACTCTGGTACCATGCTGTTTACAGATTTAAAAGTCAACCTCAGCCATTTGCGTTTGGCTTGGAAATGGACTGGAAGTCAGTGTAGCTAACAAAGTGCTTGCATCACATGATAATAGTGGCTAGTCCTAAAGGAGCAGCAAGTCAGTTCTGAAGTAATAGAAGTTTCTGAACTGTCTTCAAAGATAGCCCCCCATAAAACTCATTGCAATATTAATAAGATAGGGGATTGCCAGTGGACAGAACACACACCCACACACACCACATACATATACAGCGAGGGCAGTGATGTTTCACATTTGTATTACAAACTGATTTTAAACAATAAACAGACCAAGTTTCCCATGGGAAAACACATTGTGCTGATTCAGCAAACGGTAGTTGTGATTGAATCATATCGAAAACATGGACTGGAATTTGATACTGCTGCAGGGGTTGCTTTCTTTGCGCCTGCTGGCTACCTCCGCTGCCTCCATGGTCCTGCATGTGTTATCAGTACAAAAGGGGATCTAAGTCCATGCAGATGTATGCAGGTAACACTCCTTCAGAGCTGCAAGGACCCTGATTAATTAGGGGCTCAGCCCCTGCAGAGGAGTCTGATACGCAAGAGGCCACCTCTCAGACAGAGGCCAGTGCGTGGCTCGCAGGTGGGTGAGCAAACGATGCTAGGGGTGCACCTCCACCGCCTCCTGCATGTATACGATCCAGATGTAAAGCGAAAAGGTCTGAACAGCCTTATACTCACAACTGTTTTTGCTGGATTAAGCACTTTGTTTCTCCTTAAATGAACAGTCTTCAGTGTGTTTTCTGGCCTGGATGCTTGAATAGGTTATCATTAACTCGGCATCTCCATGCTTTCTTAGGTTGCCTTCTTTCTTTACAATGGAGTGGTTCTTGATAGATTTGTGCTGCAAGTCACCCACCCGTTATATTTGAAGAACTCATTGTTATATCATCCTCAGCTCCGTGCCCAGGCCTGGAGGTATCTCACCTACATATTCATGCATGCAGGGTGAGTGCTGTAGAAAATACCGAAATCTTGGTTTTGCGTGCCGTTATGGGGAGGGCAGGCAGGGCCCCAGTGCTCGTGTCAGCTACCCATACTTCCATGGGCAGCTGCTGGGGGCCAGCTTCCTGGCAAGGCCCAGCACTGAGGCCTTCCCTGGGTCCCCGAGTAAAAGAGGTGGGGGGACTGGGGCTGACTGTCATTTTAATTTCCCCCCAATGTTGTGCTGCATAATGGAAGGTTGCAAGAGTGTTCCTGGCCACATGGCAGTGCCTGGAGTGTGGCTGCTTGCCCCTGCTGCTAGGCAAGCCTGCCATGGACCCCCTGTGGCATGCCAGCCGTGGGTGCCACTCTGCCCAGGGTTCCTTTAAACCCCTGCAGGGAAGGGGCCTAATTTAGAGAAACTGATTCTAAAACGCACTTGGTATTTGAATCACACACTCACACAAAGTTGCTGCTGGAGCAATGATCAGTGAATATAAACCCTCCATGTCAAATCATACAGTGCAGGGGGGAAGGGGAGAGAATAAGGCAGCCAGTAGAAGTTGTGTTACATCTTTTAAAATGAATTTATTTATTTAATGGATTTATATGCCACTGCAATATCCCATATCTTGGGTCCCTGTGTGGCTCACAATATACTATTTGATAAAGGGAAAAACCATGTGCATCTCCCAACTCTTGGAAAGTATCATTTCATTTTTCTAGGACAAAATTAGAGCTCAAAGGTGTAGAAGACTTTTAAGTTTGAAGATGTTAGTCTTGACAGAGGGACTTATCCTTAAAAAGAAGAAAAAAACCTTTGCCCAAACTTTATTACAATGGTGATTCAGGCCTACTGAAATTTCATTGCAGAACTAGGTCTTTGGCTTCAGTGTTGAGGACAATCCTGTTGTTCAGTTCTCTAAGAACTCACTTAAAATGCTTGCTGGTCACTGTAGGATAACAAAGGCATAGGGTGGAAAATAGCGCCATTGAAACTACCTAAAATGGGCATATCCTTTGGACCTTCTGGTGATAAGAATGGTGGGAGTGGAGAGGGTTAAATTCTCACTGCCTGTGCAGGCAGGGTTGGCCTAGGCCTCCAGGCTGCCACCATTTTTAAAACTTGCAAATTGCTTTCACACAATTAATACCACATCTAGTTTGGCCCTAAGAACAGTGGGTTCCATCTGGATGAAAAGAACCAGCTTCCTCCATATGGGTTGCAAAGCATGTCCAAACCTTGACAGAGTGTAAGCTCGTAAAGGTTGTAGCTGTAGCAGTAGCAGTGTGCTTTCCTCACCCTGAAAAAGCTAACCTTTGCTTTGACGAGTATCTTGCTGCTATTAGTCTGCCGTGTTGCTTGAAAAATGTGCTGAAATTTTTAATTATCACATTTCTTTCACAAACTTGGCTGGTTTCCAAGGGAAACTCTTGGAAAGATACAGTAACCAGTGCCTCACTTCTGTAAATATTAGAGACTTAACTGATGTGCACTTATTACTTTTTGCAGTGGATTCTAAATCTTCTGGATGTGCGAGCCGTATGTTCCCCACTTGAGAAGCAACCCCCTGCTGTATATATGCGTGTGTGCGCATGCACGTGCAATGAAATACTGACCGCAGTTAGGTTGCTAAACCATCATTTATAGCCAGGTTCCCACGTTAGGTTATTTTCACATCTGCAGAATAAAATAAATCTCAGGAAAAGTAATAATCCTTTTTCTTTTCTTTTTTTTTAATGGTAAGACCATTATTCCTTTCCCCCTCACCAAAGGGCAAGCTAATAGCAAGAAGGTAGCCTCTATTGTTGTCATGTTTCCTGCTGCGACTTTAAAATGTTAATCTGAAGCTCTTAATTTACTGTGCTCATCTGCTTTTTTTATGGTCAACTTTGACAGCCAGAAGGCATTGAAGGAGAAGGCAGTTGTGAAGGGTGGCTGGCTGGGCTTCCTGAGAGCTTCCAAAAATGCGTGCTGTTTCTGTCTCAGTCCTGATGGAGAAAAGCTTTATAAAAAGCCCAAGCTGTAAATTGTAGCCTCCTACTTTAATGCTGAGTGGACGTTAATTATCTGTGGGGCCCACCCATTTGTATTGCTGCCATAACTAATGACTTGCATTGATTCTAGGGCTCCATTTGTTTGGTTGCAGAGAAGGTGAAGCCTTGATAAATCAATTATATTGTCATCTAAAGAATGACACATTCAGAGCATGAGAAAGCTAATTATGTTTTATGGGTGCTTATTGACTATGGGACCCTGATGCTTTCGGCTGCAGTCAAAACAGACTGACTGAAAGAAAAGCGTCTTGAGTCATTTTTAAAGAACAGGCATGCATCAAACGCGCAAAGAAGTGAAACCTCTAAGCGTTCCCTAACCTATATAAATCATTGCTCCACAAGAGATATGGTTTAAACGAGAGTTAAATTCTTTGTTCAGAGAAACTTTGGCACCTTCCCATGACTCTTCCTATGTGCAATGTCACTTCTAGCTGTTTCTGTATATATAAGAAAAGTTCGGCAACTTTATCTTTCCTCAATCCTTTTCACCCCACATTGACTCAAATTCAAAACAGATTCCTGACCATTTTGTGAATTCTGGTGACTGTTGCCCACTAGTTGTAAAAGAAGGGGAGGACTTAAGTTGTAGCTGCTTAGGGCACGATCCGGAGTCTGCCCTGGGTGCATTTAAACCTCTGAACCTTGAGGCTTGTGTGCATACAGTGCAGGGTGCAAAAGACAGCTATTTTTCTATCTATCTGAAGCACCTTGGAGTGGGGGGGAAGGAGGTTGCGGGGGTGCTGTTCGGATAGAGTGGAAGCTGTCAGACCCAACCTGCTCTGCCCACCCCAGCATGCTGCTTCAGCTCTCTGAGGCCAGTTTCTGACCTTGGAGAGGCAGCTGGCATGCGGTTCTTTCTCTGTGGGGGCAGCAGGGAAGCTGCTTCCAGAATCCCAGCTGTGCAGTTGGAGCACCTTGAAGCTGGACTCCAAAGAGTCCTATCGCAGCCTCCCCAGCACAAGGTCAGGAGACCATAGGCTTGCACCCTGAACCAATATGGATAAGAGGCACATACATAAAAACATGTACAAGAGATTTGGGCCTACCTATAAGTGGTGAATTCTGGCCAGTTAAGTTTTGGGTGGCTCAGTTCTATTTTTGCAAGTAAGGCATGGCTATTTTTCACAGCTAGAGCAATATGGATAGCTGTGAATGTTCTAAAAGACAAAAAATCCATACCCTCTGTAGCAAAAATTTCTGCAACTATTTGCGAGATGTGAGATAACCTAGTGGGTGTATTTTCTTAACTTTCTTAACTTGTATTTATTTAAAACTATTTCTGTGTTAGTTGTCATATACAATATATGGAAGCTACATACAGCAATATATAAAATTATGGGAGTAATACAATATAAGTGTAAAACACAGCTAAAACAAAGCCGAACAATATGGTTGGCTCCACAGCCATGGGGCTTTCAAGTGGACCCAAGGACGAACTTTCTTCCTCATTTTCACCTCTCAGTTATTTATCTATTTAATATTTATCCAGCCCAACAGCCAAAGCTGTCTGGGCTATAAATTTAGCTCTCTGGTTATATGTTTAGATCTGAGTCACAACTTCAAAGTCCATTCTAGCTTAAGTGCTGGAAAGCATGCTATCGACCAGTGGTGGCAAACCCATGGCACGCGTGACGCAGCAGGCACACAGAGCCCTCTCTGTTGGTACACGAGTCGCCCCAGCATCGCCCCAGCAGCCGAGCATCAGATAACAGTGCACATAGGGGCCATGTGCATGCTCGGAAAGGAGTAGTGGCACCAGACGAAGACGTCACCAGCCACACCTCATTAGCTGTGACTAGTCCGAGCTTTCTCATGGCCGGTCTGTCCCCTGTCAAGGATATATGTCTATTTGCTTGGATTGGCTGTGACTTGTAAAACCTCAGTATTCAGAATAATTGCAGTGTTGGCACTTTGCAATAAATAAGTGGGTTTTGGGTTGCAGTTTGGGCACTCGGTCTCTAAAAGGCTTGCCATCACTGCCATAGACCCAGAGTGCAGGAGGATTCTGTAATGGATTAAAGTCACGGTGAGCCCAATGCTCTGCCTTGTCCACTGATGCACTGGGCACATGAGCTGAGTGGTATTTTGCCTAATTACTGGATCCATGCCCTGTGCTCTTGCCAAACTCATTCAAAACTGTAACCAACAAATTTGTAGACTAGTTTTAATCCTCTGCTCCCTTTCCCCATGATCCAGCTCAATGATGCTCACACAGGGAAGCTTTCTACCAGTTTTTCTGAGGTTCGCATTAGGCTAGGCATTCATCATGAATCCCTTTTTGGCATTCTCAAGTCCTTTGACAGAATCCTGTTTTTAATAGAATTCACATATTCCTGTTACAAGAGCAGCAGTTTCACATGGGAGGGCTGCATTCAAGACTCGCAGATAAATGTGCTAGGTTCTGGTGCGTTGTAATGTGTTAATTAGCTAATGCATCATCCTTTGTCACAATGACTCTCCTTTAGCACAATCCTCTGGCAGAATGGTTTAGGCTTGTGGGTATCTCTCCAATGTCTTCACCAGGGAAGGCCTTTCTGCAGGTCCCTGACCTTCTATCAGCTTTCCTTTGGCAATAATTCTGTTGTCTAAAGTTCCCTTTTCCTTCTGATTTCCTGCCCTTGAGGTAACAACCCAATTCACATGATCTCTGCAGTGCTGTAGATATTTCTCTGTGCTACATGGTTTTTAGTATGCAGGCTACAGCTGCAACTTGTCATGTCATCAGAACCCAGACAGCAGGAATTGAGGATTATGGGTTATGCAAGGGTTCTTTAACTTTGCATTGCCCCTGTTGTCTGAGTTTTTTTATAATGACTGCTTGAATATTCAAAATGGTGACTAGCATGTGCCGCAGTCCACGATGGCTTAAAGGAACCACTGGCCCAGTATGTCCAAACATTTTGCTTTCTTTTATGACTTTAACCATTTGCTTATCAAGTTCTTTGTGTGATGCTTTTGCCTTTATATCTCATTTCCGTTCAAGGCAAAGAGATTTATTTTTTCTGTGTTTTAAGAGCCAGTTTTCTAGCTAGCTAGGAGATAAGCTTGTCTAAGGCCATCCAGCTGTTGGAATTCGCAGAAGACTTTAGTTCAAAGACTCTGTAGGGAAGGGGGAAGAGCTGGTTGAAAAGCCACTAAAAGATTATGCACATAGAGAATTGAGATGTTGCTGGTTTGGGTTTAACTGACGCCTGCTTTCTCTGTTTGCTTTGGTTGTAAGAAAACACCTGTTGATGTTGAGTACTGTTCCTGTTTAAATCTTTTTTTTCTCTCAAGTGACAAACTTATTCTGCAGCTCCAGTCAGTTTATGGATGAGCTGAGATTTAAATTAGAGTCTTCCAACATGGCCAGTGTTCTCCATGGTTATGTTTTCAACTGCACTTTGCTAAGCAGCCGTGTTTAAACACAGGATCCTTAAACCTAAATTGTAACATCTTTTTTTGGAATTATAAAAGCAGCAACTTTTGAAATGTTAGAATAAAATTAAGAAACCCAAGCACTCATTTTATTTGGTTTCTACATGTAAAGCCTCTGTACTTGTTTTCTAGTATCAAAGGAAAGTTAAAATAATAAAAATAAAAAATGCCATTTCACTTTGTCCCAGGATAGAGCACCTTGGACTCAACATAGTTCTTCAGCTTCTGGTTGGAGTCCCCCTTGAAATGGTACATGGTGCAACAAGGATTGGGTTTGTCTACATTGCTGGAGTTGTAGCAGGTAAGTGTTACACCTGAAATAAAATAAACTACACGACTGGAGAAATTGTGGTTCATCACCGGTATCCTGGTGCCTGTGTTAAAAAGTAGAAGGTGCCTTTTGTTTTGCTAAGTTAGCAGAATAAGTTACATAATTATGTTACATAATGATGCTTGGAAAAACAATTGTCATTTAGCATCGTCTTTCTAGAAGCAAGGCTCTGTTCTGGATTTCTTGATCCTACAAGGTTTTCCATATAAATGGGATGCAGGTTGCAGTAATTTAGATAATGAGGGCTAATGAGAACCAGTGTGCTCTGGTGGTTAGAGGGTTTATTTATTTTATTTATTAATTAAAACATTTCTATGCCGCCCCTTGCCGAAGCCTCGGGGCGGCTCACAACACAAAATACAATAAAATACAAAAATAACAATATAAAATTAACAATATAAAAGAAGTCGTCCTGGCCAGATAAATAAGCAAATATTGTTAACAATTAAAATGACGCTTAAATAAAAAGGTCTTTGCCTGGCGCCGAAAAACAAATAATGACTGCGCCAGGTGGACCTCTCTGGGGAGCGCATTCCATAGATTGGGCGCCACCGCAGAGAAAGCCCTCCTCCGAGTACCTACCCTCCTAATTTCTTTCACGGAGGGTTCCTGGAGAAGGGCCTCTCCTGCAGATCTCAAGGGGCAGCCGGGCATATATGGATGTAAGCGCTGCTTCAGGTAACCAGGACCCAAGCCGTTTAGGGCTTTATAGGTCATAACCAACACCTTGAATTGGGCCCGGACTTCAATGGGAAGCCAGTGAAGCTGACGGAGGACTGGAGTCATGTGAACATAACGCCCCGTCCCCGTCAGCAGCCTGGCAGCTCTATTTTGAACCAATTGAAGTATCCGGGCCGTCTTCAAGGGTAGCCCCACGTAAAGCGCGTTACAGAAGTCAAGGCGGGAAGTCACCAGCGCGTGTGTCACCGTCGCCAGGCAGTCGTACTCCAGGTAGGGGCGCAGCTGATTAATCAGCCGAAGCTGAAGGAAAGCGCTCCTCGCCACCGCTGTCACCTGAGCTTCCAATGAAAGCTCCGGGTCGAGGAGCACTCCCAAGCTGCGGACTTTGTCCCTAAGAGGGAGTGCAACCCCATTCAGGACTAGGTCAAATCCACCCTCTCCGAAGCCCGATCCGCCAACCGACAGGACCTCCGTCTTGTCTGGATTGAGCTTCAGTTTATTGGCCCTCATCCAGCCCATTACCTCGGCCAGGCACCGGTTCAACACAGCCACTGCCTCACCTGGATTGGTAGAGAATGAGAGGTAGAGCTGGGTATCATCAGCGTACTGATGATTCCGCAGCCCACACCTCCTGATGACCTCTCCCAGCGGTTTCATGTAGATGTTAAACAGCAAAGGGGACAAAATGGACCCCTGCGGTACTCCATGGCATAGCTGCCATGGTGCAGAGCCATAGTCCCCCAGCACCACCTTCTGGAATCGGCCATTGAGATAGGAGCGGAACCACTGCAAAGTTGGAAAGGAGTGTGGAAAATCCAGATGCTGATTCCTGCTCACTCGCTTGTGAATAAGCCTGTGGAGTCTGTACCTAAAACCTTCAACTCCGACTCCTCGAGTTATGGTACTTTCCACTCCAACTCTGATTCCTTTATTTATATATCAATATAGGAATATACTAATTATTTAATTATTATGTATTTCCTATATTGATTGAAAGCACTCAGCTTTGTCACACATAGTAGTCATGTTTGGTTTCCAGTAGATTTCTGATCTTTCTTTAGCCCTGAAGTCAATGGAATGTCTTTATTGCTCTCTTTCTCATTCACAGCTTCTAACATTTTAGGATGAACATGCTGCAAATCTCTTTAAATTTGAAGTTTTATGGTGGCATTTTTATCAGAACTACAAAAATGATTAATTTTTGCAACAGATGCTTTTTAACACTCCTCTATAATACATTGGCACACATACTATTTCCCATCCATTGTTATTGTAAAGTGTTCAAAAAAAGCTTACTTTGTTGACACTTCTTTTGCTATTGTGAATTTTTTCATGGGGCACCACTTTTCACTAATATATGAAATTGAAATATATCCTGAAAATATAACCTGAAAAAATTGGTTACTCATATTATTGTCTGTGAAATAGGAATTTTTAACATGTTATTTTTATTACAATTTAAATGTATTAGGAGTTGGACTCTGACTCCAGTGACCCAAGAATTGCTTCCATCTGCGACTCCACAGTCCTAATTGTAAAGCTAACTTTAGATCAGTCTCTGATCCAGTTCGCTTGTAACTACAAATTATGGGTTAATTAATTTGCCAAAACTGCTTTGCCTCTAACATGCTCCTACACGTGCTACAATCTTCTATCACCCCATTTGTATATTGCTCTCCTGAGGTCCAGATCTAGGTATTCTGGTTAGTTTAGGGGTTAAACAACCCAGATATAAGCTATGATTTGTTCTTGGGTTAACTCTGGATTATTTAATAATGAGGCTACAAAGTCATTGTAGTAAGACTTTGTCTAAGCCACCTAACTGCTGAAGGTATATAATATAGAATCCTTTTTTAACCACATGTTTTCACAATGTCCAAGTTTGCCTCTTTTTGGGAGGAGACTGTTATATGGATAAACTTTGTATTGCAATATTAATATTTACTGATGCAGATATCCTCTTAAATTATCTACCTGCTTCCTGGAAGTTAATGCACAGCCAATGCAAATAGATTCACTGTACCCTTTGTCAACTAAAAGACTGATATTAAAACTTGGAAGGATAAACATGCACTTCTTATAATGCAATAGACTGAAGACCTAGCAACACTTCCAACAGCTGAATATGTGGTATATAAACACCACTTGCAAACAGATAGACAGCTATTTGGTCTGCCTTTGTTGGTATTTAAATATAATTCTTAGGAAACTGTATGCATTTGTTGAAATCATTATATTCAAATCTATATAGTTACAGTCTTTTTTTTCCTCTTTATGGTTTTGTTTTGGTTTGTTTCACTGAAATTTAATAAGAAGAATTATTTTCTTTTAAAACTGAGTTTTTTAACTACCACACAACCCCCACTGTCTGGGTAGGAATGTCACCAGAGCGACCTAAGATTGGGGCAACGATCGACTGTCAAATCGAAGTGGAAATGAGAAGCTTGCCAGGAAGCAGAGCACTCGCTCACTCCCAGTCATGCTTAGCAAATCAGGGGTTCAGTGACCCACAATTTGCTGTTAAAAGCAAGCTGGGCACTGACTCGCAGCCTAACCTGTCTGATAGGGTCGTTCTGATAAAATGAAAAGGACTATTTAAGCTGCCTTAGTTTTGGATTTCCTTATAAGATGAAACAAGGCAACTATAAATGTAAAAGCAACGATAATAATAATAATAATATTATAAGAATGTATTTTGTGGAAGTTAAAAGCCTGCCAAGCCCAAATTTATCCATGTGGTTCCCTTTTAGAGGCACAAGTAGAGTGTTTCAGCCCGCATTTGTTCCTGTTTAGTTGCCACAACTGATAAAGTCCAGCAGGAACTGTGCAATCCCTCAGTTCCTAGACGAAAAAGTATCTGTTTTGCTTTTAATGGTTTGCCAGATAGCGCCAAAGTTTGCAAGCCATGCTGATGTAATGCAAAAAAGCAAATATTTTTAAAAACACCACAGTTGTTTCTGGTTAGCCCTGTGCAATGCCCACACAAGAAAAATAATTCCAACTATGTTGTTATTTATTAGTGAATATATAATAGTTTATTATTGTGTCAGTGAGCTATATGGAAACAAAAAATGTGTCCCTTGATAACGGAGAAGGTTGGAATAGATTTTCCTCATGCCATGTTTACTTCTCATTTGAGCTAAATTTGCTTCTCATTTGAGCTGGATACACTTGAGCTGCATAATAGCTGCATGAACATACATTAATATAAGGGTTAAGCATATATGCACAGGATTATGACAGGGGTGTCTGCTCCCGTAACTGATGCATTGTTGTTGCTTTCCTTATGGTAAGCTTCACAAACCCAGCTATCCTACCATTCATTCTGTTTTCATGAGAGATCTTTCCCAAGGTAAAAAGAATCTCAGGCATTATTTTTTAAAAAATCCATATTTCCAGTTTGGCTTTATCACAGCATCCAGCAGTGTCAGTAGTTGTCAGCTGAAAGTTTTTGGTGAAATTCCAACAAGGCAGCCTGCCAGCCTGCCAATAGCTGGTGGATCTATTGGGTGATAGACCCTTATGGACTGATTGATTGTTACATGTGTACTGCATTTGTTATCCCTGTCTGGCACTTCTGTATTTTGGAAGTGAGGAAAATTCACTTGGTGATAGATCAAGATCTAATTAAAACAGGAGGCGAGAGCAAGAGGCAACTGAAAAAATATCTCATAGTGTGCTTGTGTCAGTGATGAAGAGAGTCAGCTGCCCCCCCCTTTCCTGTGTAGCTAAATTTTTGTTATAATTAATAAATAAAGCTGTAGTAGCAGTGTGTGACTTCCAGTGCAGTGAGTAATAAATCAAATGCTCTCTGCCATGCGAAAGTAGATGGAGGTGGGAAGCATAAATGCAGTAATTGGATCAGAAAACTAGGAACAGGGACTCCATAAACACGTTGGCATGAAGGCCCCTTTTAGAGCAGAGGATGGCTTTACTCATACTCTGGAGTGTCTGATCCCATAATCAAAGTAGGCAGTGGTGGTGTGGGAAGAGGATGGGGGGGGGGGATTCTAGACCACTTCTTTGTACATATTCATGTTCTGTGTGGAGGGAGGTTTTTCTAAGGGTACTTTTATCATCTCTTTGAGAATTAGGCCTGGGTGGGCATGTCTGGAATTCCTTACCTCCATTCCTTCCAGTCTCCCCTTCCTTTCTTTCCCTGCCTTGTGGTTGCGCTTCCCTTGCCATCCTCAGCATCTCCCATGGCTGGAATTTAGATCTTGAGTTTCTTGGGACAGGAACCTGCGTTTTCTGCTTAGGGAATCAGTGCCAAATACGTTGTTCTGATTGTGAAACTCTCCTCCTAAGGAGGTGGGACTGGCCTCTTCTCCATTTACTTTTAGGAAGGAAAGGAAAGGAGTCCCTGCAGATTTTACTCTGCTAGGATATTTATTTTTAGACAGTATATTAAGAAGTTTTTGTTCCACGTGGCATTTGAGTAATTTTAAATGCATCAGTAATTTTAAATGTTTTAAAAAATATTTTTCTCCCCTGTTTTTCTCTGCTGTATTTTAATGCTGTTGTATTGTTTTAGGGAACAATCTTGTGCATTCAGATAGAGTTGTAGAGCTTTGCTTTGACCTAACATGCACAGCTTTGTGCGCTTTCCATTTTAAGTTGGAAGTCCGTATGGGGCCCTTTCTGGACTGAAAGGCAACTCAGAAAAAACTATAGAACTAAATGATATATTTGTCCATTATTGTAGTTCTGATATTCATGTGTCTACCATTGTGCTTGTCTTGCCCCCACCACCTCCACTTTTCTCCATCCTACATATTCTGCCAGCTGTCAGTTGATTTTCCCCTTGTTAACTGTGTCAGATAGACTGTGGGAAGGAAATACTAAAAATAAAAAGGAGTGAGGGGGGAATAGCCTTCTCATTAAAAGGATGGAGCAGGTCTTGGAAGATGTTGCCAGAAAAGATCACAGGCAGAAAAGATCTTTGCTATCTACCAATTATTTCACAGCATGCGACTGAAAACATTTTCTTTAATGGTTTCAAAGTGTTTGCAGGAGAGAAAGACATAGAAAAAGAGAAATGATGCGGTAGTAAGGATAAGTGCAAGCAAGTACAAATATAACACTGCTTGCAAACATACAGGAAGGAAAACACAATATTGATGCATGATTTTAACTAAATTTACGAAGGCATTCATCTAATATATCCAGCCTGATTCTTTTCCCTTCACTTGTCTTTGCTGTCACAGTGGCATGGTAAAGAAAGGGATGTTCAGGAGAAAGAACGACCCAGGCCTGTGAACTCTGAAAAAAATGGCAAGGAAAAGGGCAGAAATTTAATGGGGAAAGCAGCGAAAAGGGGAGCAATGCTTGATTTCCACTTCACCTGCTGCCTTTCGCTTGCATCCTCCCATTCCCCAGCTTGCCATATGGCAAATGCGAGTCGGGGCCCCAGCTGGACAAATGTTGCCAGAGGAAGGAGAATGAAGGGAGATGCTACAGGCAGGGCAGGGCTAGGCAAGGGTGCAAGGACATCCCACACCCATCCTGCTCCCCCCCCCATCTAAAAGTCAAGCTCCACTTCTGTGTTACTCCATGTTCTATGTTGTCATTTCCCTCCCTCTCCCTGCATTCCTGCAATCAGGTCAGGTGAGGAGACAATACTATCACCCTCTCAGCAGGGGAAAAAGGCAGGTCCTTATGTTTTTACCTGATGGGGAGGAAAGCAGCTTGAGGGGCCTATTTGGGTAGCCTACAGGCTCCAGTAGTTGCTTTTTAAAATTCAATTAAAACAGTAGGGGATGTGGGGATGGAGTGACAAAGAGCTCCGTGTAACATGTCACTTGGCCCTGAGCAGTCTCACTCTCTTGTTACCCTTCCAACATGCACTCAGTCCCATCTGTCTGCTTCATCAGCTTTTTGCTGCCTATCTGACCTGTCAGGTGCAGGCTTTTGAAAGCAAGCACAGTCCCCCTTTGCATCGGAGGACCAGAAGGTCTCAAGCCTTGATTGCATTTCCAAGATGTGATTGCAATTCAGATAATGACTTCAGACCAGCTATCTAGTCAGAAACCAATCATGCTGCCCATTATAAGCAGCATTCCCAGATCACAGAGGTTCCCCAAACGTTTGGATACAGTCTCACTGATCTTCTCTGGCTTGCATTCCCTAGCCCTGCGAATTGCTTGGAATGTCAGTGCCAGGGTCCAGCTAGCCCAGCATTCCTGTTTAAGCCAGTGGCTTGAAGGAAGAAGTGATAGTGCCGTTAGCCATCTCCTGTGGTTGGTCCCTGGTTTCCCGTCTTCAAAGGCACAGTGATTCTAAACATGGATGTTTGACTTAGAATTGTACCCTCCAGACTATCAATGGTTATAGCTAAGAATGTTTAGACAGAACAATTCCACATATGCTGGAAGCTGTAGGACTTTCTTTTTTGTGCAAACGTACATAGGATTGCGCCCCAACACTCTTTGGATTTGTCAAATACCTTTCTAAAGCCTTTGACAAAGGAATTACCAGCTCTGTGCTGGAAAAACGCACTTTTCCTGCCTTGCTAACTTGGTAGTCACTGGATAACAAGGGAGCAGGTATTGTGGAATAAAATGAGACTCTTGGAATGGTCTTTTTGCATAGAAAAAATGGGAGATGCTCGGCACTTTTGTCTGGTGGGATTTTATAATAAATGTTTCTTTTTTCTTTTTGCTAGGTTCCTTAGCAGTGTCAATTGCTGATATGACTGCACCTGTTGTGGGCTCATCTGGAGGGGTCTATGCTCTTATATCTGCCCATCTAGCCAATATTGTAATGGTAAGTGCTGGAATAGGAAGGGAGGCAATTTTTGAACTGTTTACACTTTGCTGTAGAAGTTTCTCATATTATCCCAGTTCTGGTAGTTTTAAAATAAAAAGTCCTCACATGTTGTTGAGCTTTTCTACACATGGCTGTTGATCGGCCCGATCTACCTTCAGTTATATCCAAGAACTGAGATCCAAGCAGTGCACAAAGAATAATTTACTGTTTTCCCACTACTTAAGCTCTAAATGGGCCTATGATAGAACAGAATAACACAAACACACAAGTGAAAAAGTGTTTTTTTTCACTTTTGACAAAGTGACTTTTGCCATATTTTCCCTGCTCTCTAAAAAAAATACCACAGGCCCTGATTAGACAAAGAAGCAAACCTAGAGGGTCACAACATCAGCTCAAGAACTTGTAAACAACCGTGGGTAGGGAATGATCAGCGCACAATAACTGTCTCATGTAGAAAAGCCCATTGATGGAGAGAAGTGTGTGTGTGTTGGTGAGGAATTCTTGCATAACAGAAATGACGCTTTGCATTTGCCACTGTATTATATGCATGACAATCTGCAATCTGTTTGTTGTGCTTTGCTGTTCTTTTCCTCATGGGAGGGGGGGCTCATTGGAATCATTTTGCTTCCCTGCATGCCCTTGAGTAACTGCAAGAAATAAAAAATGTCCTCGCCTGTAGAAGGAAATGTTGCTGGAAATACATAAAGTGAGAGCAAGCAATAAGGCATTTTGCCCAGTGGGAAGTAATAGAACAGAGTAGGGGGGATAAACTAAATAAAGATGCATGAAAAATCAGAGTGGGGGAGAAAATGCAATATTTAGCAGTAGCATCCCAGGCCTTCTGACTGGGATGCTACTTCTCACTTGTCTCCCTGGAGAGCTGTGTAAAATAAAATCACTTTATTTTCCCTTCTAAGGATTTGCTGGAATGGTTTGTAGACAAAATCTCCATGTGATGCTGTAAGACCCAGGTGGGTATGTGTACTTACAATTTAGTTCACATACCTAAAGCCTGAAGGCATGTCTGCTTGGTTGTCTCTGAAGGGTTATATCCAGAATACAGCCACCCCACCACTGCCTTCAGATGCTAGCGGCTCTCGTCTCTTCTGCACTAAAGGTGCTGGGACCCCTGAGGGCCAGGACATACGGAGGTTCCCTGCATTCATGGTCCTTCCCCATCACAGCCAAGGGGCTGGTGATTCCTGTACCCTCCCTCTTCCCTGCCTCTCCCTCAGCCACCTTACAGCTGATGCATGCGTGTCGGCTTTCTGACCCTCACCCCCTGAAACCTCCTTCGGTAGCGTAGTTGTGAGCACCAGCTGCAAAAAGAAGAGTGACCGAGTGAAAGAGAGAGGTGGAGAGCTGCACTTCAGGTGATTAGGAATTGCCCATGGTCCTCAGGCCTTGTCATGAATAATGCTGCTCTACATGATGCCAGCCTACTTCACATCACATTGTTACCTCCCAAGACTGTAATCACTGGCAAGGCTGGCGCTGAAATGGAAGGTGGAGTAAGAAGGGAAATTGGTTTGCTGGGCTAAATAGCAGATAGGCGCACTTGTGCAAGATACCCCCCCTCCCCAGTTAAAGAAACAGTAATGTATTACCATATAAGGGCTCAGAAAATTTCTCTTTCTGGGGGTAATTGTACCCTGAAAATTTCTCAGGGTACAAATTTCATAGTAGAATGGTGAGGTGCATTACCTGAAATACACAGAGGAATCTGCAGAGGTATCTGTAGAGATGTGCAGGGAGATGGAGGGGGGGGGGATCTGTAGTGATATGCAAATACAATGTAGGATCAGTAAATAGACGTGTAAGACTGGGGAAAACGAAGTGAATAAGTTTGGGACATTCTCCAGTGTCCTTTCCCCTTGATTTTTGGGAGTAGAGAGCACTGAGAAAGGGTGAGGGGGAATGATGGTGACCCTAGTAAGATCATAGCAGGTGGCCGGGTCCTTTGTTACCCATGCTGGATGGATCGCCAGCTATTCCTGGCAACCTAAGATGAAATCACTCTGCTGGATGCCACAAGAAACCACACGGAGCAATCTAACAACAGTCCCTGGTTTCTCAAAGTGGCATGTTCATGAAAAATAAGCCCAACAGTGGAAACTCTGCTGGGTTCAGATGTCAGGTTAACTCACCATGGGGCACAATTGCATGACACAACAAGCCATTCTGTAAATAAGCTGTGCAGTGGGTTGCTAATGGGACAACCCAGGGTGTGCCTGACAGACAGTTGGGCTCACCTTGGAGTGACCCTGCCCTTTCTTTCCCCTTGGCCCTCTCACCAATATTCCTGGGAACTTGAGCACTGAACCTGCCCTGTCTCCTGCTTCCCCACCCCCTGCTGCTTTTGGAAACGTTCGTAATGTCTTCCAATGACAGTCCTCCAAAACGCCCAAACAGCACTTTAGGGCCATCTGTTAACTGATTTACTACATTAAAAATGCCCAAAATGTCCACAATTCTGTTTGTAATTTTTAAAACTATTTTTGCGACTACTCTTTCAGATGTGCAAAAGTCATGGTAGCTAAAATGGGAAGTCTTGCCTGCTCAATGTCCTGGTAAGATCTTGAAAAATATGAGGGAATTCCTGTAGCAAACCCCCCCCCCCTTTTGTAAGACAGGTAACATGCCTGACATATGCCAAATATATTTATATTTGGGAGCATCCCCACTTCAAGTGAATGTTCAACAGCATCCTTTCCAACCAATACTTTATTCTGGTCTCTTAATCAGTGTTAATTTTCATGAGCCATATCATACAAATAACCTCAAAAGAACATTCTTCCAGATAGACTGCCAGGTGTTTCCACTCAAAGAGAGATCTAATTTCTTTGCACACTCTTATCTATTGTGCCCTGCAGCTGAAATAAAGATACACATTTTATAGATCTTAAATAGATCTGGATCTTCTCACCAGTTTTATCTAAAATAGTTCTCCTGATTTTGCCAACGTGCATATATATTTCTTGAGGGCTCAGATATGGAGATGTCCTTGTAAAATCCAAAACTTATGCTAACTTACTGGCAAAACTTACTGCTGACCACTGGTACAGATGGGTTATGCATGTTTAAAATTAATAATGATAAATAAACCAACATTAAAGAGAATGCAGCCTTGGTTGTACTAAGGCCTGCTGATTTGCTCTGCCCCTCTGTAGTCTGAATCAGCTATTACTTTTCCTGTATAAACTGGAACTGAATTGGATTCCTAGGTGTACTAAACCAGTTACATTACATTTTTTTTGCCAGAACTAGTTTGTCATGGTTGAACTCAAGCTGCATCAAACCCAAACATGTAAAGGTTAGGTTCCCTAGTGGTCAGCCTTTGTGGCTAATGATCAGCTCAGCTGCCTAGCCAGCCTGCAGCCATGACCTCTGGTGATGGCCAAAAGTGTGTGTTGCTTGCAGAATCTTTCTGCAGTGTTTGTACTATTCTTCTGAACAGCTTTTTTTTTTAAAAGGCATTGATTGGAGACATTCTGGAGATCAACAAAAGCAAGAAGGGACTGGTTGATAAAAAGCAGTCTTGTCATTTGTTCATTTGTTGTACTGTCATATTCCCTGAGGACTATTAACAGACACCTGGCAATGAATCCAGTGAGCAGCTAATTATATTCCAAGTGTGTTTACCTTCCTCCAGAGATCTGTATTTGTGCATGCACACAGCCCCTCCAAAAGATTAAAATTGTTCTCTCAGGGGACAGAAGAAAAAAGAATCTGGGAGGAGATTTGGATAAAGTTATAAACTGTGAGAGCTTAGTTATTAAGAAAGAAGAAGCTGCAGAACTCTTCAAATCCATGTATATGAGTGTGCCATACAATGTGTAATGCAGATTGGTATATAGAGATAGGGAGGGAGGGAGAACCTACACAATACCCGTAAGTTCTATTGATTTTGATTCTCAGGGGTCTTAAACTCATATACCTGAGATTACCATAGGGCAGCCATGACCCCTGAAGGGTTCTAGTCAAGTGCATCTGGAAGGCACCAGGTTGGGGAAGGCTGCTGTAAGGTTTATGCAGTGGTTTATGCAAAATTCCTGTAGTGTTGACTCTTGCCATCACATCTGCTTCACTAGCTCCCCCACCCCCTTAGTCAGGAACGTGCATATTTCTTGCTTAAATGTAACACAAATTGTGCTTTAGCATAACCCAGATAGTGAGTCCATTAGCAGGTAGTCACAAACTGGGTGCAGAAGCCATTCAGTTCAAGAATATAAAACAAATTCTGAAGCAAATCCACTCCTTTTCAGTTTGGTTCCTCAACTAGGTTGCATTCTGTAAACATTTAAAAATAATAATCAAAGCCAAGATCTTTGGGATGCTGAAATCTGCATGAAACTCTAAACATATTGCTATTGCAGAAGTATACAAACTGACCTTAGATGCATATGCCAAAGCTGTCAAAGGGAAGAATGTGATGTTCTTCGTCGTGGCCTCTGTGCATCACACATATGGGTGCTGCGCCTGCGCAGTGCCTAGGCCAGAAAGATTGAAAGCTAACGGTTTTTGGTGGGAAAACTCTGCTCCCCTCCCCCTCAGTAGCATATATATAGAGCGGAGTGACCGCCATTTTCTCCAGTCTTTTGCAACCACCGTTCGCTGTGCCTCGTGCCTGTTCATCTCTCGCTTGACTCAGTATTGTTTGTTACTTACCATTTGTCTTTTTGCTCTTATTCCAAGTTATTGTTCCCTCGTTGCAGTTTATATCTCCTTTTTCTCTTTTTCTTCATTCCTAAAAAAAAAACCAAACCAAAAATATATTGCTTTTCCCTCTTTCCTATATTCTATTTCTTCTGTTTCTGCGATGGCGCAGCGAGCAGCCTTCCGCAAATGTGCAGAATGTGGGTCCAAAATGTCTCCAGCGGACCCGCATGATTTGTGCCTCCTTTGCCTCGGCAAGGGGCACAGGACTGATAAATGCCGCCATTGCCTTGCTTTTACTCAGCAAGCATGAAAAAATAGGGAGAACCGACGGTGGAAGCTCCTATGGGATCAAGCACTGATGCAATCAGATCAGCCTGCAGTAAAGCCTGGGCCAGCACATGCTCCATCTGCTAAGCGCAAGGCCACAGCCTCGTCCACGGTGGTTCAACGCCCAGCCTCTGCCTCGGGCATGTCTGGGCAACGCCCTTCGCCCACGCTGCCTATGCCTCAGCCGTACCCATCGGATGATGGAAATTCCCCCTTCGGGGCTCAGCAACCTCTTTCTCCCCCGCGTAAACAACGGGAAAAGAGGAAGCACGGGGGATCGAATCAGTCTTCAGCCCATAAGAAGGTGAAGAAAGATAAGGCGGCCAAACCGCCTCATAAGAAGAGGTACCGGGATTCGGGTTCGACAGCTCCATCGATCCCGGCGGCAGCTTCGGTACCAACGCCATTGGTACCGATGCTTCAAGTGGCGATGCAGGTTACCCCTCCAGGGTCCCCAATGCAACCTGCTCCACAACAGGGCCTACCTATCCAATCGCCTGAGGAGCCTCACCGTGAGTCCATATCCGATGGGGAGATTCGGGACTCCCCTCCGAGGGCTCGTTCCCCGACTCCTATGCCTACGGTGAGAGCTAGAGACCAATCTCCATCACCACCACCTCAGTCCCGAATGGACAAGAGGCGGGAAGAAGGATGGTTCCAGCCCTACTACAACTACCAGTCGGGCTGGGAGGACTACCATTCTTTCGGATTCTGTCCTCACCCACAGGATCGCTCCTCGCCTTCCGCACAGGAGAATATGCCTTCTACCTCCCGGCGGGTCGAACCCGAACATCCCACTTTGCCAGGGACTTCCTCATCAGAGCCATACCACCTTGGGCCCGACACTGACTCGGATGCTGACTCTACCTCTCTGGATGGCCTGATTACATCTCAAGGCCCATCATCACCTGAAGAGCCCCACATATCTTTCGGCGAGCTTATGTCTAGACGTGTTTGGTCGCTTGAGATCGAGGCTCAACATCAGCCAGATCCAAGCACCGATAAGTTCTATGACATTGTCAGGGGAGAACAATCGCCAGCAATCATCTTACCGCTTATTATGACTCTGCGGCAGGTGATGACGCAACCTTGGGACTTGCCTTCCCAAACTCAGCCTACGGTGAGGAGATATGAGTCCATGTATCAGGTCCGAGAGAGCGACATTCCTTTTTTACTTCACCACCCTAAGCCGAACTCTGCGGTAGTCGAATCATCCCAGGGCAGGGAAGCTAGAGGCCACACTGCCCCCAGAGACAAGGAGGGTCGCAAGATTGATACCCTGGCGCGCAGAGTCTATGCGGCTGCAGGACTCAGGCTTCGCCTGTCCAACTTTGAAGCCACCCTGGCCAGG